AAATGGTGACTGAGAGGCGCCTCTCGAGTGCAAAGGGTTAATAATCCTCAATCCGACGTCGTTTCGTGAACAAAATACAACCGACTGGATAACGAAGACGCATCGAAGCGTTGCCCAACGGACCCACAAAAAACGATATCGTTGCTTACGTCCCTGGTAATCTACGATTACGTAGTCCTCGTGATATGGCTTAAATTAGGTGCTAGGTTTGCTAGGAATTTAGCAGATGATCATTCGAATGTTTCGATGAGATGCGACTTGCTCATTGTTTCCCGGGAGTAATTAAATATTTCAAAGTCCACTGGAAGAGATCAAACGAGGGACGAGTTTTGGAAACATTCGAAGGGAACGAGAGGCCTACCGGAATTGGTAATTTGTAGCCAAATTTGCTCCAAGTTCAGCCAGAGTCAGCAAATACAGCGGACTCCTCAATTAGCTGTAAAGAGACTTTTGAACCTTCAGAGGACCGAAATCGTTTAAAACATCCCTCGGAGGAAGTCGCGGACAGACATGTCTAGGTAGCCCGGGAGAACTGCAGAAGCTACTGCGAGTATTTAAACAGTCCTTTGTCAACTGGACCCTTTAAAAGGCTTCCTTGTTTAACTAGAACAAACTCTACTAATTGAACGCTAATGAATCTGTAACCACGCGTTTCCTGGCCACTGTCAATAGCCAGAAGAAGTTCCTGGTATCTTTCATAGGGAATAATCTGATCACACGGTCCTTAAGCTTGATCCAACCTCTCCTCACCTGCATTGATATCTCCTTGGAATCGAAGCTCGATTAATCGAAGAATTAAAGCGCAATTGGAGAAAATTAAAGCGCATGCTCGAACAGGACGTAGCCAAATCGGTAATGCGTAATTCGGGATCACCCAGTGCATGATTCGCTCAATTATTCCCCACCGATAGCACCGTACGCATTACGAGCATTGTCAAGCGCGATTGATGAATTTCCACATTCGCAGATAGCCTCGTGAAACTTCTCTCGATCGTGCAAAATAACGTTTAACGGTTAATCGTTCGTTACGGAGTGTCGTGACAAATTTTTATTGTCCACCGTATCTCTCCCACGTATACACCCGATCTGGAGGACTACGTTCGGGAGATGGCCTTATCTACGGAATACGTTTCCAATGTATCGCGTTACATATCGAGGTCTTGAACCGTACATGTGGCTGCGGGTGTATTGGTGTCAATGACTTCGAAGATTGTCAACGTCATTGGAGAAAAAAACGGGGACTGATAACGCAGGCGTTTTAAACCGCGGACACCGCCGAGGCTACCATCGGTCCTCTTCACGGCCACTCTGCGAACATTCACGGATTTACCCTGGATCCCCGATTTGCAATGGATTTGTTAATTAGCCACGCGATTTTCAATAGGTTTGTTAATTACCCACGCGATTCGCAATGGGTTCATTAATTAGCCACGATTCTAGTCATCCCTAAGCGAAGTCTCCAATGGTAATTACTCAAAATTTTTCGCCAACCCGGTAGATTTTTGAGAATTTCTCTGGTCACAGAATGGAAGAATTCCTCGAGTGGTTCCCTCGCGATTTTCCATAGGTTTATTAATTAGCCACGATTCTAGTCACCCTAAGCGAACTCTACAAAGGTAATTAGCCCAAATTTTTCGCCAACCCGGTAGATTTTTGAGAATTTCTCTGGTCACAGAATGGAAGAGTTCCTCGAGTGGTTCCCTCGCGATTTTCCATAGGTTTATTAATTAACCACGATTCTAGTCACCCTAAGCGAACTCTACAAAGGTAATTAGCCCAAATTTTTCGCCAACCCGGTAGATTTTTGAGAATTTCTCTGGTCACAGAATGGAAGAATTCCTCGAGTAATTCTCTCGCGATTTTATATGGATTTATTAATTACCCACGATTTCAGCCATCCCTAGACGAAGCCTCCAATAGTAATTAGTCCAAATTTTTCGCCAACCCGGTAGATTTTTGAGAATTTCTCTGGTCACAGAATGTAAGAATTCCTGGAGTAATTTTCTCACGATTTTATATGGATTTATTAATTAGCCACGATTGTAGTCATCCCTAAGCGAAGTCTCCAATGATAATTAGCCCAAATTTTTCGCCAACCCGGTAGATTTTTGAGAGTTTCTCTGGTCACAGAATGGAAGAATTCCTCGAGTAATTTTCTCGCGATTTTATTTGGATTTATTAATTACCCACGATTTCAGCCATCCCTAGGCGAAGCCTCGAATGGTAATTAGCCCAAATTTTTCGCCAACCCGGTAGATTTTTGAGAGTTTCTGTGGTCACAGAATGGAACAGTTCCTCGAGTGGTTCCCTCGCAATTTTCAATGGGTTTATTAATTAGCCACGATTCTAGTCATCCCTAAGCAGAGTCTCCAATGGTAATTAGCCCAAATTTTTCGCCAACCCGGTAGATTTTTGAGAGTTTCTCTGATCACAGCGTGAAAGAGTCTCCCAAGAGGTTCCCCCGCGATTAATCTCGATTGGAAAAACAGTCGCGTGTTTCCAATATGGAGAGATCGGTCTTGCCGCGAGGGTAACGATAGATCTAGGTCGTAGCGTGAAGCATCATCGAGATTTATGATCCTGCGTTACCAAAATCTAGGTCATCGTGCACTCGTTTCAGTATCGTTGCTTGTAAATGTCAAGCCTCGACTATCGACTTCTGTTTCTCGTTCGGCAGCCTTTTGTCCCAGGAGCCAACACCTCTCTGTCCATCCGAGAGACTTCTTCGAGGACGAGGATGGGATTGATCGATGAGGATGATTCGGGGCCGTGGAAACAACGTGAGGCCTCGATAACGCGCATGACACCGAGCTATCCGTATTTCCAAAGATCTCGGTGGTAACAGAAATACGCAGTTGGCTGGACGTTTCCCGGTATCTGGTGGCATAGATCACGCTCCCCGAGGAGCGTCTGCGAAACAGTCTCGTTAGAACGGTCCACTTCGATATTCGTCAAGCGAGGAAACGTCGCTGACATAATTATTAAACACCGATCCGTTCGTTGTACGCTTCGTGACCACGACCAGCCTCGTATACGACGGCTGCTCGGCTGTTTCAGAAAGAGAGGAAAAAGAACGATCGAAAGCAGGGCGATAAGGAACCGGGAGGGCATCCGGGACCCAGCAAGGTCAGAGGTTGCTGGAGAAATGAGTACAGTATACTTTCTATGAATGGAACGACTCGTATTCACTCGCGCGCCAATTATTTCACCGTTTTGGCGATGGTTCCTCCATTTCGCGAAATTTTTCAATTCCATCGAATATGTGACAGAGTTTGCGCGACGGTGAAGAATGGTCGCTGAAAGTTTCAGCGGTCAATGGAGGATCGTGGAACGATCGAGTGTTGCTTTTCGAGGCCTAAGTCGGTTGTTCAACAGAAGAGATTCGGGTATACTGGAACGACCGTGGCGCTAATTATTTCACCGTTTTGACAATTATACGCCATTTTGTGAAACTTTTCGCTTCCATGGACGCAAATATTTGACAGGGTTTGCGCGACGGTGAAGAATAGTCTCTGGAAGTTTCGTCGGGCAATGAAGGATCGTGAAACGATCGACTGTTACTCTTGGAGGCCTAAGACAATCGTTCTTCGACAGAAGAGATACACTAAGCGACCGCGACGCAAATTATTTCACCGTTTTGACAATTATTCCACCATTTTGTGAAACTTTTCGCTTCCATGGACGCAAATATTTGACAGGGTTTGCGCGACGATGAAGAATAGTCTTTGGAAGTTTCCTCGGGCAATGGAGGATCGTGAAACGATCGACTGTTACTCTTCGAGGCTTAAGACAATCGTTCTTCGACAGAAGAGATACACTAAACAACCGCGACGCGAATTATTTCAGCGTTTTGACAACAGTTCCTCCTCCGTTTCACGGAATTTTTCGCTCCCACAGATGCAAATATTTGACAAGGTTTGCGCGACGGTGAAGAATAGTCTTTGGAAGTTTCGTCGGGCAATGGAGGATCGTAGAACGATCGAATGTTACTCTTCGAGGCCTGAGACAATCGTTCTTCGACAGAAAAGATACACTAAGCGACCGCGACGCAAATTATTTCACCGTTTTGACAATTATTCCACCATTTTGTGAAACTTTTCGCTTCCATGGACGCAAATATTTGACAGGGTTTGCGCGACGGTGAAGAATAGTCTCTGGAAGTTTCGTCGGGCAATGGAGGATCGTAGAACGATCAAATGTTGCTCTTCGGGCCCTAAGACAATTGTTCTTCGACAGAAGAGATATGCCAAGCGACCGCGAAAAGGCATCGGGAGAGATTCGGAGGAAAAGATGCACGGTGCTTAGGTGCGCTCGTATTGGTGGATAATTGCGGCAACCTATTTTATTATCGTCGGCGATTCGCGCGAAATTAATAAGTGGCGAGCGACGGCGCCACACCAAGATACACCCGAGCGTTACGTCTCATTTAATTATAAATTCAATTAGGTCGAAGTTGATTGACATGTGCATACACGTCGCGCGCCATCGAGATTCGATCTCTCATCTCGCGGAACGAGGCGATTCGGGGAGGAACGGGGGAACGTTCGAGGAGGAAAGAAATTCGTATCCGATCGGCGTCGGAACGCTTGCAAGAAGCTGTACACACGTTGGACGATACCGATTATTCAGCGTTACATCACGCTTTGAAATTCTGCCGCTGATAAGACGCGGATGGCCTCGTTAATTCGAAGGTTCGCGAGTGAAACTGTGAGCCCCGATTATTGGGGCAGAAGTATAACGAGAATGTAGCGAAAGAATTCTATGCAAACGACTGTGTAATATAACCCGATGTTGGATAAATTGGAAATGAATAAATGTTTCTCGAGTTTTAAGATCCAGCTGAAAGTAGCTCCTCGTCGACTGGTCCAACGACAACAAATCAATGTCCATCTCAACTTCTGCCGGCTTATCGAAAAGAAATTTAGAGGTATTACATAACATGGCTGGCATAATCGTGCATTATCGTCTGCGACGTAAATTACAGTCGGCTAGTTCCTCACCTAACACGATGGGATCCATCAGGAAGAGCAGCCTTGCAGCCGTCGGCTACATGCAACGCGGTTCCTCCAGTTCCTCTGCAGACTTCCCTCGATACGATTCTTCCTCTTTACCATCCACGTCGATCCCTGGATCTGATCAAACTCTCTGGACTTGTCTTACGAATATTTTCCAAAGTCCATCCAACGGAAACGTTATAGGAGTATATCCTCTGCACTCCTTTCACCGAGCACCACCTTGGGTCCTTTCGACCATCAACATCCCTGCCGTTTCACATTTTCTCCTCGGTGCGATGGGAACGATAGCATGAAAACGGCAACGACAGTAACTAGTGTCGCGTCGATGGAAACGCGTATAAGGCACTTCACTGATGCAACGAGCGGGAAATGGACGCAACGAGCGTGGACGACGCTGGATCGGAAAAGGCGCGTGAACCAGGTAAAAGGTGGAGAACACTGGAAGATCGGGCGGTAGCGAGCGTGATGGAAACGTTCCACGCCGCCTTCCTTCGCCGTCCTTCATTCACTCGCACCGAAGGGAGACACTGAAGGCGTACTCGCGGCTGTCGAGGGAAAAACGCGACAATTTGGCGCAAGAGTAAATAATGCGATGCAAGAGCGTGCAGAGTACCGTGTCCGTGTGCGCTCGTCCTGTAGAGGAAAGAGCGAGATAAGGGATAAGGGACGAGCGTGGGTGGGAGCGAGAAAGAGAGAAAGGGAGGACGCCGGGTCGCGGCTAGACGAGACGAAAAAAGAAGCACGGACACGGTCAATGGTGCGCGGCTCGCCCTTCGCTGCCTCACTGACTGGGGCGACAGATTTACCAGAGCAGAAATAAGAAATCTCTCCGGCTAGTAGCGTAGCCTTTAGAACGCGGCCCCCTGACTGCTCGCTGTGTGAGTCGGCTTCTTCCACGTACGTGTGATACACGCACGAATTAGCATAGAGAACGTATCTCGTGGCCGAATGCGTGTGAGTGAAAGGCGCACCCACCTACTTGTTTTAGCGTGCGCGATCGTGCATACTCGCTGCAATGAGAGGGAATAGGAGGATAGCGAAGATTCTGCGAGTGCGAGAGAGATAGAATATAGAGAAACGTTTCGATCCATGGAAAGCGAGTTGAACGAGGATGGAGATCGGAAAGGAGAGAGATATACGTAGAAAGATGCGAGAAGAAAGGGGATGGTAGATGAGAGGGCTGCAAGTGGTCGATCGACCAATCGGTGGCCGCTCACACTGAAGCTACGCGCACACGTCTGCGCATCCGTATGATCGGCACCGAGTATGCTGCGTAGTTGCGTTGTTTTGCGTGTGTACGTAAAAGGCACACTCGTGCGCACGCTCGACCAAGCACGATCAACAATCACGATGGAACTAGGAGGGAAAGTTGGCCACGCTTAAGAGGCGGAGTCACATTCGCACGGACCATTGGCGAGAGCAGTGCACCGTGAGCGAGCATGGTTTACGCCTCTTCATTGTACTCCCGCGTCGGGCGTTCATTGTCTTATTCTACTTCCTTAGTACCGTCAGTTTGGTTACCCTTTGGCTGAACTATGTTTGACATTTTCTACTTGTGAATTATCGTTGCGAACGGAAAAACGTTATATGAAATTTGGTAATTAATTTCTATGTGGTTAGGTTTCGCGTCTTGTTATGTATTTAATTTGCGTTCCCGTGTTTTCTCTTTTTATTAAGTATGCTATATAAAAAGTAATCTTTGTAATAAAGAAGAAAGAATAAGATCTCTTCTAGATTTTTCGTAATCTTATTTTCAATATGAGCAATTTGATTTTGAATTTTGGTATAAATGACTGATCGATGATAAGTGAAGAATCTCTGCGAGTAATGCGATTCTTTACTTTACATCGTACCGACATCTACCTTGATTTTAGGAAAGCGTATACTTCTGTGCAAAATGGAAGTTACGATGCATCGATTATATATCCTTTCGAACTATGAAAACTATTGGTCGTCTACGGTTATAAGAGAATCGACTAATCAGAGGGCAGTTTGTAACATGTAGAAGGTATAGATCAGTGGTTATCAATTATTTAATATAGGTTTTGAGAGACACTGACTTGACATAACGCTATGCAATTGAAGCCAGAAGACAGGCAGTGACATTTTCTGTATTTTCGATGTATTTATTTTAAGTATACCAATTAAATTAATAAAATGTATAAAAATTTATCACATATCTTAAAATACAAAAAATGGAAATAGTTGAACCAATTTACAAAGAGTTGTAAGTTTATATTGCGATTGTAGGTATTCTTTCTTAATGTTGTATTTTATTGTTATGTTATATTTTTGGGATATAACTAATTCGTTATTTTTCTTAAAGCTTTTAATACATATATTAATTTTTACAATGGACGATGTATATAAATTTTACGATAGCAATGCATCAGCAAAGATACGAATAAAGCAATATTTTGAGAACTATGAGAAAGTGGTAGCTAATTATATTATATCTACGGCAAAAGATAAAGATAATTTAATGCCAATGATGGAAGTTCAACTTGACGAGGAGGAAATGTCTATGTTAACGCACTATTGCAGGTTTGCTATCATTTGTAAACTTTAAATTTTTGAAATTGTTCTGTAATAATGTAGAATAATTTTTAGTATTGATAATCTAACAGTGAAAGGAGAGGCTCCAAAACTAGCTAATAACAGAAAAATGAGGAAAAAGGAAGTGTTTGATGCTCAGAAACCAGAAGATATAGACTTACAGACTATTCAAAAATTAAAACAAAGATTAGAAGTTAAAGATGCAAAACGACCATACTATAAATACCGAAGCGAATTATTTATAGTAAATATCAGAACTGAAATGAAAGAGCTAATATAATTTGTAGACAACTTATATTTTGTTTTTCAGAATTATAACAAGAAAGAAGAAAAACCTGAAGAATGTGCTGTTCCAGGCCAAGATATTCTTATTTTTATTAGAGTTTATCATCCTTTTACACTACGTCCAAGAAACACACCAAAACGAGAATGTGGTTCAGTGCTTCGGCTAAATAATGTTATAGCTGTATTAGGCTCTCAAACACTTGCTCAACTGCGAGATAAAATATCTTGCATTGCTGATTACAGTATTTCTAAAGAATGTAGCAATAACTTAGATAATGCAATAGGACCTATGGCAAAGGTAATTTATTCTTTTAAAGTATTTAAATTGTATGGCATTTATAATTCAAAGTATTTTTTATTATTTAAGGATGTTTACCGATCAGGATTTTTTTTCATCGAAGATACTTTTTATAATGATACTAGATACCCAACAAATATTGACTACAGTAAAGTAATCATTGATTGGGCAAAAAGAAGGCCAACATTGGGACCTTTTAAAACTGCTATAATGGAAGATTGTAGGATAGATTCATTGTGTGTAAGATTTGGTTTTCCATGGGTGTACAAGCATCAAGGTGGTTGTGAACATTTAATTGTGTTTAGTGATGCTAGGTAATTTAATGCTATCACGTATAAATTAAACATTTTTAAATATATTTACTTAAGTTCGATCTAATTCTTTTTTTATTAACTTTAGGTTCATTAACTGCGATGATGAATTAGCAGTATCTGAGTATCCAAGGATAGTTAGATTAAGACCTCTGGCTTCAAAATTCTGTTTAATATGTGGAGTATTCAATGTTCGGTGGATTACAATGGAACATGAAAGAATACCACATAATCCCTGTTTCTTTTGCGACTCTTGTTTTAAATCCTACAACTATATTGATGGTAAAAAAGTTGGAAAATTCGAGGCGTACGCATATCCACGGAATATCGAGGCTGTGAAAGGAATAATAGACATATAAATATATCAAACTCGATTTTTTTTCTCTAGGAAATAAATTATTTTATTGGAGATCTCAAAGAATATAACTTTCTCAAATTCTCCTTTGCACTATTTAGTTCTGGTTTAACTTCTAATGCTTTTTTGTACATATTTTCTGCTTCCTGAAATTTGTTCCATCTATGATATAATACACCCAAATTCGTATAAAACATAGCATCTTTAGGATTCTTGGCGATTGCATTTTTAAAATATATTTCTGCCTCTACAAAATTCCCTATTTTCCCCAATATATTTGCAATGTTGAAGTGAATAGAGGCATCATCTGGTAAATATTGTAAAGCTTGATTTGCTATTTTAAGTGCATCTTCACGTGTACCTAAAAAATTATATTTACTGCATTCGTATCGCGATGAAAATATCTTCCTATATTACCTAAATCATCAAGAAGTAATATCATATTAGTCCATGCTCTTCTATGTGTACTTCTTTGTCTAGTAGCAGATTCCCAAGCTATCAATGCTTTGTTGTAATCTTTTTGTTCCAAGTACTACAAACACACTTACTTAGAATTTGCATATATTTTCTTTTCAACTTTTAATTCATATTACTAACCAACACACCCAAATTATAAAAACAATCAGGATATTTGCTCCTGTGAGACAAAGCAGTTAAATAACTTTTTTCTGATTCTTCGTATCTCTTTAGTGTTGACAAAACAATCCCTAAGTTCATCCATGCTGTGGCAAAGTCTTCCCTAAAATTCACAACTCGGTGACACTATGTTTCTGAGTAAAAAATTTTAGTTAAGTCTATATTAAGCTTTTGCATGTTCTAATATTTCAAATAGTCAGATATATTTAGACTTACTGCAACTCAATAGCGCGCTTAAACAAGGTTTCTGCTTCCAAATACTTTCCTTGGTTTTTAAGTAAATTTCCAAGATTGTTCATAGCTTGAGCATAGGTGGGATTCAATCTATTATATGAGTAGTAAAAGATAATTTTTCTTTTAACTTATTTGATTTTTGTAATTTATTTATACTTTAACAATTTATACCTTAAAGCTTCCTCGTATTCATATTGAGCTAACATGAAGTTTCCTGCATCAGCTGCATTTTTTGCAATATTATAGTGTACTTTTGCATTTAATGGACAAACGTCTAATGCTGATCGAAATAGCGTAGTTTCAGTTCTCCACTGGTCACTTCTCATCCATGATTTCATAAAAAATAACGAAATTAAAGCTACATATGCCAGCAACAAATATTGCACACGAACACGATTACAAAGCTTTTGTAATCCTGTAATAAATAAAAGACAGTAACCAGCAGAGGGAATATATAGTGTTCTCTCTGCTAAAACGAAACCAACATTAAAAAAAATATTGCTGGCTGGAAGAAATGGAATAACAAGCAGTGTCAGTCCCATAATTGAATATCTGTAATATCAGGAATTTTTTTACTGTCTTATTTTATTACTTTATAATATTATAAAATATGTAATTACCTTAAAAATTTGTCTTGATTAGAATTAAAAGTATATATAAACAGTGCACCAAATATTAGCCAAAATAAGAGAACATAGAGTATTCTTTTATCGCTAGAATGAATTAAAGGTATACATCCCATTGACCAATCAAAGCATAGCCATTCTGGACATATTAATAGCCACATATTTAAACAATAAATATAATTGTAATTTAATATTCGTAAAAATATACTGTCCATAAATGATGCTGGATTATCCACAGATTGAAAAATTGGAGTTTTAAACCCCATTATACTAAATCTTGAAATTATGAGTGTTAAGCTAGATGCAAAAAGTATAAAGAGTCTGATTAATAATTTTTGTCTTTGCTTAATAAAATTCTTTACTTGCTCGTATGAAGATTTTGATGTTATAAACCAAACTATATTAAATGGAAACAACTTGTTGACTATTATAATATCATATATACAACAAATTCCCTGAAATGAGAATATTACTATTATTATTCCTTTATGTTAATTGATGAACAAGTTATTTCTTACCACTGCAGTAATTCCTATTTCTTTGCACAACATCGATGTTCCAATAGATATAATACAACCACACATACTGAACCATCTATACAATAATCTTCTTGCATAGATCGAGTAGTAATAAAGTATAATAGATATCCACATAAATAAAGCGCATAATAATTCTGCTCTGCCTACGATACTTGAAACCTATGCATTTAAACAAATTAAAGTCATAATAGATAAATATTTTTTTCTTAGAAACAAGCAAATGCAAATATTATAATCACATACAGCTTCTGTATGCACTGGATGAACAGCAAATAATGCAGTAGCATAAAATGCAGTGTTTCTTTCTTTTGAGCCTAAAAGTATATTAAATACTGATAACATTAACATAGAAACAATGATATGCAGTATTATATTCACTATGTGATAGTCCTGAGCTATCAAACTTCCACGAAGCCAAAAATGTAATCTATAAATAATATAATTTAGTTAAAAATGATAATTACATACATTATTTCATATTTAAAAGATGCTACCTAAAAGATAAAATTGTAAGTGGTCTATATGATTTATGACTTCGCTTATGTATCAGTCTTGTACCCCAAAAATCATTTTTGAATACGTCCATCAAAGGAGTAGTTTGTACATCTTCATTATGTACAATGGCTTCTGAGTCATCAAATACAAATTCACCATTGTAACTGTTAGCAAAACACAGAGATAATGCAGCAATTATAAGTAATGAAAGTGGTAATGGAACATCTGTAAAAATTAAAATACTATTAACTCTGCTTAATATATCAAATGCAGTAACATACGGAAATATTCATTTACCTGGTAATTTGTAATTTGTTTTTAATGACATATTGTTCCTTGTTTACACGAATTTTATCTAATATTCATCTTTAATTTTCACATGACTGTACTTTTTAGTTTAAAGCTACTGCATGTTTTCGACATAAGAATTTTTGTATTAGATGGTCCAACTTTATCATTTTTTTATCATTCTCAATATTACCGATCAAGTATAGAATACAATTGTAACACTAATAAATAGTCGAAATTAAAACTAAATGCGATTATGAAGTGATAGAAAAGGTATACAGATTGTTACATTTAATTGTTAGCACAATATTAAATTATTATATTACAGGCAAGGTAAAGAATACACCTAACATTATACAAATATCGCAGCCCAATTTTGACTGCCTTATCGACCTAAAAATATGAGACTGATCATAGTGCCCTCTGAACAAGAACAACAGCTATTAGAGAACTATTTTTCGAAATGATACGTAAATCTTAAAATCTTATTTCACAAAAGTATAAATATACTTACAAATAACGCAAATTCTATAAATTGTTTGATTTGTTATTAATAACACATTGCACAAAGCACGAATTTATGAAGAAAGTGAAAAAAGATTAACGAATTATTGATCATTATAGTAGACAAATAATTATCAGCAGAATAGGCAACGATCGGAAATTTTCGTTGACCTTTCGAGTTCTGACTATGTAAAAATCACGCGGTAATTTACGCGGAAGTGTTAGTAATTTTGCTTTCTTGCAATCGTTTCAAGTTGGATAAGGGTACTTTTGATATGACTTACACCAGGGTTTCATGTTCTGTTTGCGTAGCCATCTTCACGTGATGAGGACTAGAAATTGGCATTATTTTTCAAAGAAAAATTTATTACTAACAACGAGAGAGCAAGTCCTTCGGGTCACCGATTTAGTTGAAACTTTGCAGGTTTGTAGATTTTATCATGCAGTTTAAGAATATATATCATTACAGCCGCAACTATTCAATATATATGATTAAAATTTTATTATACTTTAATTATTGATTTATTTCCAATAATTGACTACTGAGGTTATGGCGTAACGGAGACATTCGAAAATTCCTATGGCGAAAGTCCGGGGTTCGGTTCTCTGTCCTATATTTTTTGGTAGTCTTTTTCAATCTATTTTTTATTTTATATTCATTTTTCGCCTATGAAAACATTGTAAATAAAAGATTGTAAATAAAATTTCTTAATAAAAAAATTTATTTTTTACGTTTTCTTATGCTAGTATATATTTATTAAAAAATAATAAGAATGCTATGTAAGAAAAACACTTTTCTATAGCAATTTTATTTACTATGGAAAGAAAACAAAAATATAAATAATCATTAGATACAGGAAATACAAAACCTTTCGCTCAGGTAAGTATTAATTATTAAATTAAACATCGTATAAGAATATTGCCAATAATTCCAACTTTGCTGCGCAGCTATAAATGTTCATAAATTAATTACAAAAACTTGGAAATTTATTAATTGTTTACTGTCGAATTGATTTCTAGTATCCAGTTCGAATAAAAATTTGTTCGACTACGATCAGCGCCAACTATGATTTGAGCTCAAAAATGAAGAAAGTAATAGGAATATAGAATAGGCAAGGAGGTCGTCGAAGAGCTGGTCAAAAAATTGCTAAACTATTGACTATTACTAGTACATATAACTTCTATGTCTTAAAGTGCCTATAATTTGCAATCTATAATTTGCAGAAATTTGATAAATTGTTACACTTGTTGTTAATAACAAATTAATATTGCTAGTAACAAATTCTCTGTAACGTATATTAAAGATAAAACTCAAAAATATTAATAAATTTTCGGTTATTACTTGACAAATATCATACTAATGTTAAAATGTGCCTATAATTTGGAAAAGATTTATTAATTAATACACTTATTGTTAATAACAAATTGTTCACAACGTAAATTTATAGTACAAATGGAAAAATTACTAAATTATAGGCTATTACTAGTATATATAATGTATTTGTGCAAAATTTGCACAAAGCTGATAAATTCTACATTTATTGTTAATAACAAATTAAAATTAATAATAACAAATATTTTTCAACGTATATTAACGATAAAAGTAAAAAAGTTAATGAATTATTAAATCCTACTTAAACAAACAACCTATTCGTGTTAAAATGTATCCATAACTTACAAAAAGTTAATAAATCATTAAATTTATTGCTAATAACAAATTAAAATTGTTGATAACAAATAGTTGGCAAAGTATATTAGCGATAAAAGTCAAAAAAGTTAATAAATTATTAGCTACTACAGCGAAAAAGTAACTTTTTAAAGGAATCGGTAGAGTTCGGAAATTTTCGCCGATCTTCGGCCGGCCGCCGCTATATAAGGGGCCCGCGTGCAGGCTTGAGCCAGTTGTCGGTTCGACTTCGGGGGGTTCGCGTTAATATTCTTTCTTTCTGTTTCAGGTTTTAATTATCTTTCTTTTCTTTCAGATTCTATTTCTTTTATTCTAGATTTTATTGTTTATGCATTCAAGTGTTTCGAACAATATGCGAATGCTTCGTCGTTGGTTTATTTGCATATCATCGTTGGCTTGATCAATGGCTATTCAATGGCTATTGTCCACTCTCTTAAATAATTTAACAATAATTTCTTCTTTCAGGTACTAATTATTTTTTGTTTCAGGTTTTAATTATCTTTCTTCTTCCAGATTTTATTTCTTTCATTCTATTTGACTTTGTTTCAGCATTCGAGTATTTCGTACAATATTCGAATGCTTCGTCGTTGGTTTACTTATGTCTCATCGTTGGCTAAATCTTTCCTTTCACAAATTTTACGACTTCCGTTCGATTTGTTTTCGTTAGAGCGTTCGAGTATTTCGTATAATACTCGAGCGCTTCCTCGTTGGTATGTTTATATCTCACCGTTGGAATGTTTCTGTCTCGTAGTTATGTTGCTCAGGTCTCGTCGTTGGCTTGCTCGTTCCATTTGGTTATTATCCTTGATGGTTTCCTCGTACTAATCCCTTTCCTTTCAGCTACATATTAACAATAATATATTCTGTTTTAGCTTTTAGGTTTCTCAAGATTCTGTTTGCGACACATCAATGAACGATGCGTGCGTTTACTTTTAAGTAATCATAAGATAGATCCATAGACTAAGTATCATGTGCGCGCTATCTGTACAAAGGTAAGCTACCTAACTTGGAGCGAAATTTATAAATTCTCTATCATTTTCTTATCCCCCTCGTTTAGCAAATAGAACATAATTGTTCTCGCGATAATCGCGATCGTTCGTAAGTACCGACTAGCCTACGCGACGTGCTCTCGTGTACTCGATAAGTACATGCTTCGTAAGTCATCCTCACGACTCGTCTCCGACACTCATTTCCAGTCACTGTCAATCTCGTCATGCATCGGGTTCCAGGGTGACCCCCTCGGATCAGTGCGTCTTCTGACCTCGACGGGGCGGTCCGCTGCCTAAGTCGTACGCGACTGGGGCTCGGGCACATGCTGGCTGACGGACTAGTACCATCTACGGTTAGACCACAGGGATGATTAAGTTCTACCCCGTGTGGCTGGGATGCGAAGTGTCTGTCTTGGCCGGCAACCGCCCAGCAGGGCCCTCGCGTTGACACTAGAAGTTTCATTGGTTCAGGGACTATCCTTGGTCCACGTGTAAGTCTTGGCGAGTGCGACAGTGACTGGAATTGAGCTAGGCCCGATCGGGAGGGTGCCGAGGTATGAAGTTATCTCTGTACACGGGAGTACATCGCCTAGGCTAGTCGGTCTTTCGAATAATCGCGAACTCGTTCGGGCGCGTCGCGATTTTCTATTAGCTCGCGTGTTTGATATTTCATTCCCTATTTTTATGGGAACTTGAAAATATCTTAGCGTTGCGACAGTAGAGTTTCAGTATACCGAACCGAAACCCCTTTTGTAAGACACGAAATATAATAAAGTGTCAGTAGAGTCATTTTAACTTAATTCGCTCCAAGTTAGATTAGGGTACCTTTGATACAGGTAGCGCCAGCAGGCTGCGCCACTAGGGCGCATGTCGGGTCTCGATGCGTAGCCACCTCCACGTGGTGAGACCTGGTAATTGGTATCGTTTTCCTTTAGGAAACGATATCAAGCTAAGAGTTACGCACAAAGTGTATAACATATGTCCTATCTCTTGTGAATTTTCACTGTTCCGTTTGAACTTTGAAGGCAAAGAGTAGGCGAAATTTGCATGACAAATACTTTGACAGTAAGAAATTAACAAATTACTCAATTTCTACGATTAATTTAATAACTTTTATAGCTGGATCGCAAAGCTGTATCTTTGGGCAACATTCTCATGAAATTTTTGCATATAATTTGGTGCTAACCAATTTATTATTATTAATTACTTGACTGCGTCCGGGATTTCACAACGGTCGGCTCGATTGTCCATCGAAATAATTAATTGTGAACAAAACTAGTAGTAAAATATGAACACAAATGATATGGAAATATTCCCAAGGATTTTATTTTTATATGTGCACATATAATTTGTAAATTAATTGCATAGAAGATTGTAATTAATGGAAAACCAATATTATTATCAACATGAGTTGGAACACTGGGAAATAAATGCACGTAACTAATTAATTTAGAAGAAATGAATATTCAAAATTATATTAGAATGTTCGTAAAGGACGCGCCTTTACAATACAAGTATAAAAGTTGATAAATAAGTCGCAAAAATTGTGTAATTTGTTAATTTTTTAATGCCGAATGAAAATTTAGGAAACAGCGGTAGGTGCTATCTATAATTTTACACTGGAAATTTGTGTTCCAGTGAGAAATAAAGGTTGGCGCTAACGGAGCACAAGCTTCCAGTGCAAAGTCATAGGTTTAAAGTCATAGGTGACACCTACCCCAGTTTCCTAAATTTTCATTCGGCATTAGGAAATTAACAAATTACACAATTTCTGCGATTAATATATGAACTTTTATACTTGCATCGTAAAGAGGCGTCCTTTACAAGCTTTTTAATATAATTTTCTATATTAATTTCTTCCTAATTAATTAATTACAAGTAAT